CAAACTTGGTATAGAAGGATGATACAGTAGTGATGGGGGATTTCAGTTCTTGGACACCAGCTGGTCCTGACTCAGCCAAAACCAGAGCAGTTAGCAAATGGTCCACTTGCTTAGATGATCTTTCCAAAACAGAGGAAGTGAATGGGCCAATGTTATTCTGGATCCTATTCTGCCCAACAGGGAGGAATTGTTTGCTGAGGTCGAAGTGACAGGGAGGGAATAGAAAGCCCATAACAGTGTTTGTGATCGAGGTGAGAGAAAGCATGAATGATATGACACAGAACCTCTATTTGGGGAGAGCAGTGTTTCAAGAGTTCAGAAAAAAAGAATAGAATTCTACAGGGAAAATCAACCAGGAGCTCTCAAGAATGAAATACTGAAGAGATAAGCAGAAGAAGATTCTGATGAAGAGAAAAGAGGAGAGTTTCTTATGTGGACTCACGGGGATCTCACAGATAAACTCAGAAAAGATGCATGTGTATATGGAGACAAGGGTATGCAGAAGATTAGTGTGGTCCTGTAAGAGCTGTGTCAGGAGCTCTGAAATTCCGAATGAGTTCAGGTGGATGGTAAATGCTAGCTATCAACAGAAAGGCGTTTGGTTTTGTTTTAGGCTAGTTGGGGAGAAGAGAAGGATCAGAGGGGGAGGACCAGTTGCTGTATATGGATGGGAATAATGATGATGATGGAGGATGGTGACAAGGCCAAACTACTTCGCTATTATTTTCCTTCTGTTTTCTCTTTTAAGAATAGAACAATGATGGGTAGAAGGGAGAAGAGACCCATGACAATAATATGGATAATGTGACCTTTATCAGCTTGCTCTGTCTGGGCCAATGACTTCATCATTGTGGGGAATGTTTAGACAGGAGTTCCTCTGTCGGGTGCAGTCATAGAGAGTTTACCTGAGGCTCTAAGAGATGAAGTGACCAGCCTGAGTTACTGGCTAGCCTTCACTAGAGGCCAGAGTGCAAGGCCACGATGCCTTTGCCCTGGCCACCAATATGCTTCCTTCTCTTTTCTTCCTGAGTCTTTCTCTTTCTTTAAAGCTCAGCCCAGGTGCCAACCATTCACGGAGATCTATGGGTTGTCTCCCATCAGTTCTGTCTCCTTGATGAAGCTTTGATAATGATGATGATGATGTTGAAGATGAAGATGAGTAGTACTAGCACCCCTTGTATCTTTCCAGTAGAATGTCCGCTACCTGAGGGTAAGGACCCTTGGTTTAGTCTTTGTGATCAGTCAGGTAGTCAATCAACATTTATTAAGCACCTACTGTGTATCAGGCCCTGTGCTGAGCACTTGGTATCTCCAGGGCCTAGCACAGGGGCTCGTGTGTAAGAGCTGTTTAATAAACACTGGTAAAATTGAAGTGCTTTTCCTAATTAATTGTAATATGCTGAAGCAGCACCTTCTGTAAGAGGCCCTTCCCAATCCCCCAGACCACCTAAGTGCCTCTGTCTTGCCCTACTTTGTTACCTTGTCTGTGCTTACCTGTACCTATATGTGTACATGTTTTCTCTCTGTTCCTCTTTTATGTAAGATGTAAGGCAGGAAAGAAACACACATGGGCAGGCACTATGCTGAGTCCTTTTTACAAACATCTGTTTTGATCCTCATAGCAACGACCCTGGGAGGGAGGGGCTATTGTTATTTTGTTATTCTTATTTTACAGATGAGGAAACTGAGGCAGATTGCAGTGGTTAAGTGACTTGCCCAGAGTCGCACAGCTAGGAAGTGTCTGAGGTTAGATTTGAACTCAAGTCCTTCTGCCTCCAGGCTGGGTACTCTGTGCACTCTGGCACCCTCTAGCCATTTCATTATGTTTTTTTTCAGTCTGCCTTACTCAGCATAGTAGGTGGAATACAGTAGGACTTAATGAATGATTGTTCACGGGCTGATTTTCAATTACATAGCACAGGAAGGTTTGCAAAGCAGCAACAGCATCATAGTAGAAAGCTGCTGCTATTATCCCAATTTTATAGTTGAGGGAACTGAGGCAGATAGAGGTTAAATGACTTGTCCAGTATACCATAGCTCTCAATGTTTAAAGCTGGATTTGAACTCAGATCTTCCTCACTCCAGGTCCAGTGATCTATCTGATTACTGCCTGGATATACAATATTTGGGAGAATGGGGCAATCACAACTGGGGGGTCAAGAAATGTCCCTTAAAGAAGGTGGCTTTGAGCTGGAACTTGAAGGGGAAAGGGCTCCCCAAAAGCAGACAGTGCAGAGAGAAGATGGAGAACATTCCAGGCCTGGGGATGGTTCTCACAAAGATGGAGAAAAGAGCCTTGTGTACCTGGAAGCACAAGTTAGCCAACAGAGGAGTTTGTACCTTATCCTAAAGGCAGTTGGGAGTTGCAGAAGCTCTTAGACCAGAGAAGGAACATGTCAGACATATGCTAAAGTGAAGAATGCCTACTTAGCAACTATGGTTGAGAGGGCAGGGACAAGAGAGCCTGGGTGGAGGGAGGCTATTAGTGCAACTTGTCCTCTGAGAGGTCCAGGGTGTGTGAGCTGGGGTGGAGGATGTGTGAGCTGGTGGGGGAATGTATGAGCTGGGGGGGGATGTGTGAGCTGGGGTGGAGGATGTGCTGGGGTGGGGTGGAAGATGTGTGAGCTGGGAGGGGTTGTGTGAGCTGGGGTGGAGGATGTGTGAGCTGGGGAGATGGATGAGCTGGGGGGATGTGTGAGCTGGGTGGAGGATGTGTGAGCTGGGGAGATGGATGAGCTGGGGGGATGTGTGAGCTGGGTGGAGGATGTGTGAGCTGGGGAGATGGATGAGCTGGGGGGATGTGTGAGCTGGGTGGAGGATGTGTGAGCTGGTGGGGGGATGTATGAGCTGGGGGGGGTTGTGTGAGCTGGGGTGGAGGATGTGTGAGCTGGGAGGGATTGTGTGAGCTAGGGTGGAGGATGTGTGAGCTGGGGGGAGATGTGTGAACTGGAGGGGAGGATGTGTGAGCTGGGAGGGGTTGTGTGAGCTGGGGTGGAGGATGTGTGAGCTGGGGTGGAGGGTGTGTGAGCTGGGGTGGAAGATGTGTGAGCTGGGGTGATGGGTGAGCTGGGGGGATGTGTGAGCTGGGGTGGAGGATGTGTGAGCTGAGGGGGGATGTATGAGCTGGAGGGGTTGTGTGAGCTGGGGGAGCTGTGGTATAAGGCAGAGGAAGTGATGCCTGCGAGATAGACAGGAAGCAGAATTGACAGGACTTGGCAAAAGATGAGATGTTGGGGGCAGGCAGAGAAAGTGAAGCTGGTGATGAAGACACTTGTAGGTCAAGAGCTTGGGGGATGGGAACAATGGTGGTACCTGAACAGAAGCAGGAAAGTTATGTTGATGTAACCTAGGGACTGACCAAGCAGAAACATCCAGCAGTTGGAGATGCAGGACTCGGGCTTATTGGAGAAGGGAACTGAACGTAGCATCTTAGGAGTCGTCTGAACTGAGATGAAATTTGAATGGAGGAGAGCTATCCCTGAGAGTGCAGAGATGCAGAGTGGAGGGCCCAGGACAGAGCCTTGGAGTATACCTGTGAAGAAGAGGAGGGGAAAAGAGAGCTCCAGAAGAGATCAAGAAAGCACAATTAATTCATAGAACGAGAACCACGATGGAATGATGTCATGAAAACTAAGGGAAGAGAGACTGTCCTGAAGCAGAGAGTGGCCAACAATGTCAGATGCTGTGGAAGGATCAGGAAGAATGAGGACTGAGAAAAAACCATTGGATTTAGTAGCGGAGGCCATCAGGGACTTTGGAGAGGGCGGGTCCCACCGAGTACTGGGAGAAGCCAGATTCTGCATGTGTGAGCAGTGGGTGGGAGCAAAGAAACTGGGGCAATATGTGTAGACAGCTTTTTTGAGGAGTTTGGCTACAAAATGGGGAGGAGGGATCTCGGAATGATAGTTTGAGGGGATAGTAGGGTAAGTGAAATTTTTTTAGAGTATGAGAGGCATGGTGGTGTTTTTAGGCATTAGGGCAAGAGCCAGCACACAGATGTTGAAAATGGAGAAGAGGACATGATAAATGGAGAGTCCAGGAGGGGCTGGTTCAGTGGCATGAGCAGAGGGTCAGTGTTTGGCTGAAGAAGGCAGGAGGAGCTCAGGCTTGGGGGATGAGGTCGCATCCACAGCCATGGAATCACCCTGGCTCCTTCCCTTTCCTCACCCCCTGCCCAATTAGTTGTCAAATCTTAGAGTTTTTACTTCCACAATATGGAGGTAACTGCACAAACGGTCCTCCCTTTCACCTTCCCTCACTAGAATCCATTCTCTCCTCCCTCCTGCCTTGTACAATCCCTTGTTTCCTCTGAAGTCCAGTCCAGATGCCAACTTCTGCACCCCAGTCCTCCTGATGACATTAGTTACGAGTTGTCTCTGCCTCCTGAAAGTGCTCTGTATATAGCTTGAGTTTACTTCTCAGAATAAATGCCGTATCACGCCCAATCCTCCCCACTCCCAAGGAGAATGTGTGATCTTCGAAGGTAGGGATTGTTTGAGTCGTGCCTTTTATCTCTAGCGCCGGGCACACAGTAGGCACCTAGCACATGGGTACTGTATTGAATCGAGTTGAATCCTCTGTCACAAGCTTTTAAGAGGTCGGCATCTCTTCCTTCCAGGGTTCCCATTATTTCTCTTTCAGCAGCAAGTTCCTCCTTGTGAGTCAGAATTGTGTTAACCATTGAAATTTCTTTTGCTGCTCCCTCTACCGTTTGGAAAATGACATAGTTAATGTGTGTCAGAAGGAACCCCCTTGCAAAGATGGGGCACAAGTGTGATATGTGAGAGTGTCCGCAAAGAATTTTGGAACCCCTAAAAGCAATGAACATGTGAGCTCTTAGAATAATAATTCTAATTAAATAAACTATGGACTCTCCTAAAAAGCTCGTAACCGTCCTCTTGGATAATGCGATAGAATAGTTCACAGAACAGACTTGTGGTAGGGTTGGCTTGGACTAGACATGGTGTCTGTGCTCACCCAGTGCCACTCTTTTTTTCTAGGTTGGCCGCTCACGGAGAGCAGTTGAGCATTACATGCCTGTGCTTTCTCCTCATCCTCCAGTTGCTCCAAAAGCGAACCATGGATCATGTGTTCTGAATGATCAAATGTATTCTAGTTCTTTAAAACTGGTGAGTCTTTATGAGAGGTGCTTAATGCCCGAATGGATCCACCTGTGAGTTGTAAAGATTTTCAGAATGTTTGGGAGAAATGGCGGTCAATGCAAAGAAGACTGATTCTGCCATCAGAGGACCCAGAGACAAATTCCACTGATGTTGCTTCCTCTCTGTGTGACCCTGGCCAAGTCCTTTGGTTTCTTCATCTTTAGAATGAAGATGTTGAGCTCAGTGGCCTTTGAGGTCCCTTCTGGCTCAAGTCCTCTGGTTGTGTGCTCCCTAAAGTCCCCTTCTAATGTCTCAGTGATGTCAGGCAGATTTTGCCATGCTAGAAAGGCTTTGAGTCGAGCCCCAGCATTAGATCATGTCTGTTTTCCAAGGCTCCCTATAGGAGCACTGCATTTATGCTTAGGGAACCCAGGAACCAATCTAACCTCTGCCTCCTTTTGACCTGGGATAAGTCACTAAACCTCTCTGGGCCTCAGTTTCCTCTTTTGTAAAATGAAGGGAGTAGAGTAGATAGCCTTGAGGTTTCCTTGCAGCTGTAAGTCTCTGATCCTGGGGTCTTGTTCCAATTCCTGTCCCTATAAACAGGCCTCCTGGTCTAGTGGAGAGAGATCTGGCTTCCTGACACAGCCTGGCTAAGTGAGCCCATAGCCATTCAACCTCTCAGTGCCCCAGACAGTTCTCCAGGAATGTGCTAGGGGAAGGCGGTGACTTGAAACCCGCAGCTGGGAAATCACACTTTGGGTCTGACTAATGTTAACTTAGCTGTTTTTACCTGCAATGAGAGACCCTTATCTAGTGACCAAAACGGAAGTGGAGAAAGCCAGCACGTCCTTCCTGACCTTTTGCTCCACACGAGGCCCGAGGACATTGCCAGGAGGAGAATCTGACTGCTGGGGGTGAAAATCATCAGAACCTGGTGGGAAAGGGATCGTCCCTCCTGACCCTCTCAGCATCTGTGATAGAGACCAAGAGAGCTGGCTGTGATCTGAGGGAAAATAGATGGAATCCAATTGTGACCCCTTGATCTTTACCTATTTAAACACATTGTTGATACTTAGAATTGGGAAATGCATAAATAACTCACACACACATGCACAGAGGAATCAACAGAGATCAGCACCACTACCCAATTCCATTTAATTGTCCTCATAGTCAATAGAACAAAAGAGTTCAGAAACCTACTTACCAAAGTGAGAAACAAGGCAGCCATTCGTAACGTAATAATTCATTCATAAAAGAAGCTTGTTGATAAAATCTAATGGAGGAAAACTGTGGAAGATGAGAGAGAGCATTATTTCATAGAACAGTGAGAATCAAGGGAAGGGAAAACAACTTTGTGAACAATGTAGAGGGAGAATCAGTGATGCCAGGTCAACCAGAAGTCATTTAGGAATGAAATCAGAAAGGGGATAACAAATGCATGAACAGAAAAGATCTGAGATTTCTTCCACAGACCCTTTTCTCCGTCAATGGCAGTGGAACCGCTACATTGGGACTCTAGAGTAAGGATGCTGCTACGTTGGGGCTCTAGAGTAAGGATGCTGTGGGGGGAAAACTAATTCTGCTAAAGAAAAGGGGGATGGGAAGAGCAGCTGGACTGTGCCAAGTGCTCCTAAAGGAGATCGGTGCCAGAGGAAACACAGCTTTGAAGGAAATAAGTATTGATTCTCAAGATACCTGCCAGATATCCAAATATCAGGAAAAATCACAGACCTTATTACTGGGAAAAAGCAAATAAGAAAATCTCTCTAACTCCTAACCCAAAGGCTTACCTTCCCATACCTCATAGCATGTCTCACTTCCTTCAAGACTACCTTTCCTGTCCCTCCCCAACAAGGAGGGCGCGACGTAGGAGAAGGAAGAGCACTCCCCAGTCCTCGGGGTAACCCAGAGTCCTATCCCCTCACCACGAAGGAAAAGAGACTGAGACATGGTGGCATCTTAGCCCCTTTACATTCCCACTGGACTCCATCTCAGCTACCCCCGAGTCAGTTCATCCAGCTCCAGAGCCAAACAGACAGTGTTTGGTTAATAGAACCAACTCCTCAGCACATGGGAACAGACTCCAGTAAAGCTTCTACTTGGTTACGTGGACTGGAACCAGGCTTTAAGCACTGTCTCTCCCACTGGTCAGTCCACCCCACCCCATCTCGTCCCATGTATAGCACATGTATAAATGTGTAACTCATGCATCTATATTTACATGTGTATGAATGGATATGCAATGTAATAGGATGCATATGTTTACATATGCATTGTGTATTATGCTCTATTTACATATGTAGAAACAGATGCATGTTATGTATTTATAGAAATATGCTATAAACATGCCAATTTGGGTTAGAGTCTGTGGAACAAAAATAGTCCTCTAGGATAATACGAGTTTCAGAGTTGTAATGACAGATTTCCTACATCAGGATTGCAGGGGGATATAATTTGACCCATAAAAATGAAATTGAAGAATCCAAAATTGATTGATCTGTAATCCTAACTGAGATTTTTTTTTTAAATCATCTTCATGGTTATTGTTGTAGCCAATTTGGTTGTGAAATGAAATTCTATACATAGACAACTGTTTTTAATGGTTGCTTTTATTAAAAACAAAAAATAAGATAAATTTGCGGGTTCATAGCTAATAACATCTGCTATGTTCATTTCAATCTGCTGCCATCTTTTTTTTTCTTTTTCCTGCTATTGTGCCTCTGTGATAGAGTGTGCCTTTTTATGCAGAGGTGAACAGGAGCTTCTGGAGGCCAAGGCTCCTTTTTTGTTTTATTTTTTGGGGGGTTATTTCATATTGGCTGCACCTAGCATCGTGTTTGGCGGATATTGGGTACTTAATAGATTGCTTGTTGAATAAAATCAAATAAGCACCAGCCCTTGGGTCATTCTTAGACTCCTCCTTATGCGTCTCCCAGGAAGATGGCCAGGGAGGACTTGTGGAAGGTTTGGATGAAGGAGGCTGGGCTCAATTTCCAGCTAGAATCTAAACTTGGATGTCACTATAGCCTTAAAAATCTTCTCTTGAAAACAGAGGCTTTGTTCTTTATTCAAAATTATACTTTCTAGGAATATTCACTAAGGGCTTATATGTGCTAGGTGCTGCTACTGTGTGTGTGAGAGAGAGACATAAGTAGATCTGTGCTTCAGGAACTCGGGGAGGAGAGTTTGGATTGGAGAGAGACCTAGGCTATGGAGGACAATAAGAAGGCAATTGCTATGGTCCAGAAGGGAGGAGATTGTACTCAATTTAGAGTAGGAGATCTGTGCATGACGAGGAGACCTATGGGGGTATTTTGTGAAAGTAGAAAGGACAAGATCAGTAACAGATTGAATTTGTGGGATGTGGGCAAAGAATGAATCGGCAATGGAACTTTAGGACCTGCTTTGACTGAAACAATGGTGGAGAGTTTGGAAAAAGGGAGGGTTGGAGAGTAAAGATGATAGTGGAGTTTAAGAGCTCTGCAAGATATTTAGCTCCAGATGTCTATGAGGCATTTGGTGATGTGAGGTTGGTGGTCAGGAGAGAGACTGGGGCTGGAAATGATGGGCACAGAGATGATCATTGAACCCATATTACAGATTTATTGCCCTGTCCTCCCCTTGATATATGTTTAAACTCAGGTCTCTGTGGCTTTGAGGCTGCAGGTACCTTTGCACAGGGCTGCACCAGCACTCGCTATGCCAGGATTCCTCTGAGGTCTTCAAAACAAAATCAAAAGCCTAATCATGAGGAAAAAGGCTAATGGATTAATTATTTGTATTTTCCATCGAAAAGCTTAAAACAATTATAAAACTAGAGTTGGTTAGGGGAGTGTTTAGAGAGTCATCTGATAGGAGGTAGGGGACATTATGACCAAAGAGCGAGGCTGTTAGAGTTTGAGGTTCACGAGGGTCATGGAGGGTACACAAACCTTATTGAGAGTAATGGGAACTGTGTCTTAGTGTCTTGTTGACTTCCTTAGCTAAAGTTATTAGTTGCTTGGAGGTAGCTAAGGATACCTTAACCAAAAGAATACGTCTCCAGAATTGCGCCATCTTTGCTAACATTGGTATGGTGAGTCCCAGTTGGTTTATCTTTTGTATTATGCTGTGAAATCCAATAGTCTATTTCCTCATTGCAATGACTTCTGGCTTTAGGCAGTGTTTATAGAAGAAGTGGAATGTTCTAGCCCAGGTACCAGGAAAAGCAAGGGGAAACTGAGAAAAAGCAAATGGGCTTGAGTGCTTGATGAAGAGCCCGTCACATCACATAACACCCAAGACCTCTGCTCCTCAGCTCCCTTCTAAGCCAGCCAAATCTGTATGTTTGTGTAGCCTTCAATCAGCCACTAGGCAGGAAAGAGAGCCAATTCTCAGCCACCCAACCCAGCATGAATTTAGGGTTGTCACTCAGGGTGGGAAGGTGACAAAAGGAGAAATCTCTTGAAAAATGATATTTCTACCTCTTCCCCTGACCCCTGCCATTTTCTAGCTGAAAACCTTTGGTGAATAGTCTGTGTTCTATCCAGGAGGTTAGCAAGTGTCAGAAATCTGAAAATAATTGAAAAATTATGGAAAATACAAGCTTGTAGTTTTTGTTTAGTGTGCCACCACTTTATCTTCCTGTTACATATGCAATATTTTGATTTCCTTACAATATATGTGGTGCCATTTTGATTTTTATTTTGGTTGGTTGAATAAACTCGCGACACTCAAAACATTTGAAGAGAGATTTGCTAAAACAATATCAGTATTTGTTCCAGTTTCATCTCAACTGTGATAAACCTGGACATTTTAGATGTTTATCAAAGGTCTTTTATTGGGAAGAAAGTAAGTGTATGAGATACATGTGTGACATTTATGAGTAACGTTTTCTCTGAACAAACTTTTCAAAACTTAGTTGACAAAATTTTGGATCAACTTTAAAAAAAGCGTGACTTTTGAAATCTCCAAATGCCTTGGTTCTCAGTACTAGCATTCTTTATTGAATTTATTTCTTATTAAAATATGTAGTTTTAAGACTT